CTTCAATATAAATATGAAATATATGCTGCTCTAAAAGAGAAGGATATAACTTTTGAAATTTAAGATCAAGACAAAATATATTGATAAAAAAAAAAGAAAGAGAAGTGTAGAATTAACAGAAACACTGCAACCAGATAAAGCATCAACTAGTTATAGCAAATATTTATATTTTAAATAATTAAATTGAGTTCCCAAAAGGACTTACTGCCGTCTGGGAGTGCGCCACGAAGAGGAAGAAGAGACCCTCCATGCCGAAGCCGCCGCAGTTGAAGAGCTTGCGCACGTTCGTGGTGGAGAGGATGCCGTTCTTGCGCAGATGATCCGCGAGCATGCCGCCGAAGGGCACAATCGTGGTCATGATCAAGTGGGGCAGTGAACCGACAAAGCCCGCCTCCTCCACCTTGAAGCCGAACTTGTGCTTGAGGAAGGAGGACTGGAAGAGCACCAGCAGATAGAAGTTCCAGGAGCGACAGAAGTTGGCCACAATGATGGCATAGACGGGCATCGAGCGCATCATCTCGCGCCACGGGGTCGTCTTGAAGGACGGCATCGTCGGATGCGCCGACTCGCCCAGCGACTTCTCAATGTACTTCAGCTCCGGTATGCTAATCGCAGGATGTTTGCGCGGATTCTCGAAGCACAGCCAGATCCAGAACAGATACCAGATGATGCCGAAGGTGCCGTACGCATAGAAGGGCGCCTGATAGCCCACCGCATCCGCCAGCAGCCCGGACAGGGGCAGACCCACAACGACGCCCGCGTAGGAGCCGGAGAAGGCCAATGTGGCTAGGCGAGAGCGCTCCATAGGCGGCGCCCAGAAACGCCAAATGCCATGACAAGCCGGATATGTTACGCCCTGAGTGGGAGGGAGAAAGAGAGTGAGCGAGTGAGGGGAAAAAAAAAGAAAAAATGATTGCCAAACAGACACAAAAGAAATCGCATTAAAATAAATGCTTTTGTTATTTTGCCTTCTGTGTGTGCCCCAAATCCGGAACATGTTTTCATTTCACATATTTGCTTTATCATATAGCAACCCCCCAACACACACACACTTACAATAAAGCAACCCCCCAGCTCTGGCTACCCCTCTCCACTTTTACATGCGTAATCCTTAGCTTTGATCTGCTCAAAAACGAATTCGATTTGGTTTTTGGTATATTTGATATGTGCTATATGATAGATATATGTTCTCCGTGACTCACCTCGAAGAGTCCTTGCAGCACACGCACGCCTATCACCACATGGCCGTGCATCAGTGTCATGGCAAACGGCACAATCAAATGCAGCGAGGCGGAGCTGACAATCGAGAGACCGAAAATCTTGTTCGCTGGAAACTTGGATGCAATGAAGCCGCCGGGTATTTGTGTTATTAGATAGCCCCAGAAGAAGGATGAGTCCACGTGGCTTTCCACTGCCACCGTCCAGTTCATAAAGACGGTCTGTGCGTGAGAGAGGGAAAGAGCGAGCGACAGGAAGTGAGTGAGAGAGTAAAAGTCGCAATCATTAAAATTTTGTGCCGCGGGCCTTTATTAACGAGCGCCAAACGGATGCTCTATGTGTGTCTGTGTGCCTCTTGTGTGGGCGTGGCTTTGTGTGTGACTTTTGAGTGATGTGAACAAGCTCACACACACACACATAGACTCCCATACTCACACACACACACTCTAATTGACAGCAGCTTTGCCATCAAATGAGGCAAATTGAATTGAATTCCCATGCTCGAATTCCGTTCATGTTTTTAAAGACTTTATTAGAGCATTGGAGAGCATATTTATATGAGAAATTTAATATGTATAAGCTGTCTTAAATTTTTGAGTATTCGTTAATAATAAGTCTTAGTTAATTTTAAAAATATTTTAAT